AACAGATTCCGTCACGACTCTAACATTTCTCTGCAGTACTCATTTTGTCCGAATGTTGGAGAACTGATGGATTTTCGAGCAACGGTATACAGTACAACTGATGTTCATCCCGTTGATTCGTTCAAAGCAGTTTTTGTGAATTTTCTTTTTTTCCTGGAGGTATAACATTTCTTATCGGCTCAGCGAGAAAAATGTTTTTCTGTAAAATTGGGACTCAATTAGTCATCAACACTTGGAAATACAAAAGTAATCAATGTATGGGAATTTATTTTGCCTCAGTGCTGGAGAACATATGAATTTTGAGCATTGGCATATAGTACAAATGTTTATCTATGATTCGTTAAAATTCTTTTCTGCATTTTTTATTTCTTTCTGCTGGTATTATATTTCTTATTATATTATCCGTAAGAAAACCGCCTTCTGTATTTTAAAGAATATGTTTGTAAACGCTTTGATCTAAAAGTTGTGCTTGATGCAGTTGAATCCATGCTAGGTATCCAAGAAGCACCCGAAATTATTATTTCTTTGGGGAAACTTGGAATCAGTGACTTTATACTGGTTATAATGGAAGTTCAGGTATTCGAGAAATAGCTCGTCATATAAAAGAAACATGAAGTTGAAGAGTCTTCCAAATTTTGAATAACTTTTGAACGATCCAATTTGGCGATTCGAAATAATTAATTACACTTGTATTCATTTCCAGGACATTCCTGGAAAGAGGTCTCCTTTATTAGAGGAAATCTGGCAAAGAATTGAAAATTACGATTCCGTCTCGCTGTAGAATTCTTACGTGCATAAGATATAGCACAGATAAATGTTTTAAATTTTGGAATGATTGAAAAATCTTTGGGGTTTCTTCTCTCCGAAAAACGTTGAGTAAATTAGGTACCTTGCTTATGTCTTTCTCTTCCGATTGATCTTACGATCCGACGATCACACAATAAACCGATTTAAATTTGTCTCTGAGTAGTTTTTCCCTTGGGAAAAGATTACTTTTCTCAGCGCTGGTATTGTAAAAAAAATAATCATTCGGGGATAACTGAAATTACTCGGTTCTGTGTTACATGTTTTCTTTAGTTTTGAATTTCAACTAAATTTTTTCCTGCTGTGTTGATTCAGGTAATAGTGGAGAAGTGGGGAGCAGCTGCGAGATTCGGACTGATCCACTTGGTGGCGACCAATTTGTCCCTGTGGGTTCGACTGATCGTGTACGAAAGCGTCAATGATTTGATCCGCGGCGTGTACGGCGGTCTGCCGCCACCGTCACTGTCGCCGTTTGGCGCCGACGTCGGAACCTCTTCGGGTCTGAAGCATGCCATCATTCAGCGAGATTTAGAGCATAAATCCATGGCTTTCAATGGACCAAGTTACGATCAACAGGCTGGTCTGCTGACCGACGTCGTCGGTAGAGACATTTTTTTCAATTATTATCTTGCTTAATAACTTCAAAAGCATATTTATCCACACAGGATTCATCCTTGGTTCGTTTCTTATTTACCCTGAGTGGGTTATTCTGTGTAATATGGTATTGATAAGCGTGAGGTTGGAAAACTAGAGAAACTGAGGCCTTATATGTTTTTAATTCAATAAAATCAAAAATAAAATTGAGGAATCCTTCGGAGAATAGATTTCCTAAAATTGATGCGTTTTTTCGATGAATTCTGCGTTTCTTCGATGCATTTACTTTTTTTTTTTAAACCAAATAACGAGTAAATCTGACCGGCTAAATATCTCGTCAGATTTATCTGATAATCATTCAAGTTTTCGCGAAACTAAAAATTTTTCAACACTTTTTTTCTGAATTTCATGAATCTGAAAGACATTTAAAACTTTTTCAAGCACCGAGGAATGCTACTTTCGTGGATGAGGCTAAAGTTTTGCACTTGAGCTTGGTCGATCAGAGGATTCGATTTTTTGTACGCATTCAATCCACTATACTGTACTTCATTTCAGTGAAGTTAAGATTTAATTCTTGAAGAAACCATATTTGGACCCAGCCGTGCAAAAGTATTCAGCCTCTTAATGGCAGCCTCTTAATTTCAGTGGGAACAGCTTCTGATTCTCAAAACGTTCAAATTGACTTTTAAGAATTGCATTTTTCTTTTCAACCAAAATTTTGTGAAACTATTTCAAGTAACAAGCCCTTGAACATGGCTAGTGGAGGAATAATAATGTTCAATATTGATTTTAGTTCATGGTAAATGCACAAAGTGGAGTTTGATTAAAGAGATACTTTTCAGAAACACGTTAGAATGCTGAACATTTCAACCATTAATTTTTCCCAATTTAATTATCTATAGGTTCTGATGCAGTGGCGACTGCGGTCGAAAGCTGCGTTTGCAATGCGGCTTCCTCGCTGCTGAACTCGTCCCACGTCAAGCAGGTCATCGGAATGTACGAGTGTCTCAACAACAACACCTTGGGTCAGATCTGGAGCAACTCCATGTCCCACCTTTTCCCATTCATCGTCGAGTACAGGTGGGTATCTACGCATTCATCGCGCGTCTTTCCGCTCGACTTCCCCCGGTTTCCCATTTATTGCTGTGATTTAAAAACCTTTACTTAGCATACCGCTGCAACGGTTGATGACGATTATTAAACGCCTTCTTGCTCGCCTCGAAAGGTGGTGGGTGATTTTAATTAGAGACAATTGTCCTGTGGGTGCAGTAATTGCACGGACGGGACCGAGCGAGAATTCTGCGCAATAAAAGGGGTTTCTCGAAAGTCACTCACAAACTTTTTTTGTAAACGGCTGATGAAACCTTTTTTAAATTTAATCTAATTTTCATTCATTTCTAATATCGATTTAATTACATGAAGATCTTCTGAAATTGAAGCACGACCAGAATTCATTTGAACACCCCTATGTTGAAGTAAAAAAGGCGAAATAAGGGAGGACGCAAAAATCGCATGCTCAAAATTTTCAGTGTTGCTTGGTCCTCAATTTTTCATCGCACTTTTCCTTGAACTTCGCTGGGGGTTTTTTCGGGGGTGTTTTTAGGCGTCTTAATTACTAGCTGCATTCACAGTATGAAAATGAATTCAAGATTGTTGATAAAGCACGATTCATCAAGATAATTTTGCTCAAATTTTTCGAAAATCACCGAGAGTGCGATGAGGTAATCTGTTTGTTATTTTTTTTACACTTTTTCGAAGAATTTGTGGCGTACAATTTATTACGATACCCGATGAGGAATTCGTGAGCCATGTGGGACTTCGTGCAATTTATTAAAGCAAATCCACCACGACGCAGAAATCAATTTCTTTCGAGTGCTTTTCAACGAAATTGGATGTAAATTTTATGATTTGATGGTAAATATGTGATTTGGCTGCGATGAAGCTTTTTTTTTTTGTGGGGGATATCAGATACTGTTGAGAAACCCCTTATAAGCCATATAAGTTTCGGCTTTCGCGGAGTCCGCCATCTGGCGGGTTGATTAATTTCCTCAGAGACGCTTTTGGAAGCAATCGTAGATGATACTCACGTGGGAAAATCGTCGGAAGAACTGTTAGGCAGCGGGCTTTAGTTTTGATCAATTGATCATTTCCTTCTCTGGAGGCCGATGTTCGCTTGATTCTCGTCCGTCCGTGACGCTAAAAAAAAAAAAAAGATCATCGTCCCGGACGTGGGAACGAGTTATCTAAAAACTAGGACAGAATCTCCGGCTGTTTTCAAAGCTTATTACAGTATTTTCGTCCAATTGTTTTTTTTTTCTCAGAGAGAAACACGAGAGACATGGTATGATAATTTGAGTCTTTGCTTCGTGTTGTGACGCAGATTGAAAGTTGAGATCCACTTCAGCCTGATTGCTGCAGCTGTGACGTACGTCATGTGGAAGAACGTGGGGAAAGCGAAAGCAAAGCGGGAAATTGGAATGAAATCTCTGCTCAGTGGTGACGACACTCTGGACTCGAGGAAACGCGGACATTTCAGGGTAAAATCATCATCTTGTGTATTTACGCATTATTCTTTCAGAGATTACATTATAATCGAGAGAAAAGCTGAAGTACCGGTATTCTGAAGCCACGAAGAAGATCTGTTGCAGAAGGAGTATTTCGCTCATAATTTTTAGATTGCCTTCATCGGAATATTTTGCATCACGTCGCAAATCGAAGTCACGCGGGAAATGAAACGCGTGCAATCAAATTTAAAATAATTTAAAAAAATCCCCAATTGGTTTGTCAGTGTAGGATTTTTTCGAAGAATTTTGAAAAAATTATGCTCTGCTTGCAATCAAAGATGGACAGTAAAACATTCAAGTGGTTAAACACTTGGAATAATATATCCCTTTATTTTATACCTTTAGTGCAGGTAGTGCTTCATAAAACTGTTAAGTTATTTAGATAAGTGTTTCCAAACTGTTAGGGCCCGCAGGTCGGCAAATTTCCATAAAATTTTTTGCGGGCTGGAACATTTCAAAAAAATTTATGCGGCGACCGACAAAGTTTCATAAAATGTTCGCAGACTCAAGAAGTTTTGCTTGAAAGCCTTTATGGAAGGTACTTACGATTCTGCTTTTTTTCAAAAATTAAGTTTAGAAACAGTGAAGCAGCTTTGATGGAATATTTTTTTTTAATTAGAAAAGTGGGCTTGAAGAATGGTTTCTTGAAATGAAAAATTCAAGTAATTTATTTCAACAGGTGAAAATTTGTCTGGAGTATTATTCAGAGAAAAGGCCAATATTTTTATGAGATAATTTNAAATAGCGAAAAATCCTTTTTTTAATTCAACTGATCAAAAGAAAGACTTGATTCACCGCATATTTCTGGTTAGACGACATTCATTAGTCAGACTAATGCATTTTCAGGTTGGCTGGCGAGTTATTATTAATAATGCCAAGTATTATTAATAATAATACTTATCGAAATTATGTTTATTTTTGCAATTTTTATGCATAAATGGATGAAACTTTGAATTTTATCTGATCATCAGGTATTATAAGGTACGATTGTATGCAGAAACACTCGGTTATAAGCCCGTATATCCAGGGCTTTTTGCTGAGCCGTGTAGAGACGTTTTGTACGTTTTGAGACGAACCCAGAAATTTCGAAACTCCCAATTAACCTAACGAATGGTACCAGACTTAATACTAGTAATAATAATAATCATCATCATCGAAACGCAGCGCAGTACTGTCTTGACAAAAATGACTTTCAACACGCGATGATTGGTCAACTGCGAACCCGTACTTCGTAATCTGAAACTAAACTTTTTTTTTTTTTTTGCTCTGGGTTCGACGCTCGATTGACGCGGCTCTGAAGGACATTTGAGCGGCGCTCAGTTGGGCGACCGTGCTCAAGTTCCGACATCAGCGAATGGAAAAAGAAAAAAATTATACAAATTCATATTTCGATTTTTCAGGTCGATTGCCAGAGCTCGAGCAAGGGCTTGTTCCTCGGACTGCTGTGCCTGGTCGGTGGGATCGTGGTGCTCATCATCTTCTACGTGATGAAGGAGCATGTGGACGACAAAGAGCAGTTGTACATGATGTACGGCGTGACTCAGGTGACGATCGTGGCACTGGGCGCCGTGGCGGCCTTTTTGGGTCTCTTCCAGCTGCCGAGACTCGCCTTGTCCGGCAAGAAACCCATGGACTTGGACCGCCTTCTCGCGTCGACAGTCGTCATCGGTGTCTACGTTTTTGCCATTTTCGGTGTCATCGTCGGGCTGAGCAACATCGACGACTTGTCGCATTCCTTGCTCGTCGGGCTGCAGGGAGCTCAAATTCTCCAGGTGACTCAGTTCATGATAGCCCTTGGAATTTTCACTTCTATATTTTTAGAACAGGCTCGGATCCGAAAAAAACCCTCCACTCGGGGAATTCAATATACTGTACCGTATATATTTTTTACTTCTGCTGTTTCTGAAGGCATTATTTTGATCGATTCCTTTCAAAAAATTGAATTCACCTCAGACATTTTTATGTACAGTATCTACTTTTCACAGCACGTTTTTCAAGATGCGAAAACTTTGGATATCCCAGAACATTTTCGGATAGATTTCCTTGTCTGAAAAGTTTTTGAGTTGTTCACGTTTTTTTCTTTCTTTTTGTTATGGAAGCTTTAAAATATTTCTCTCTGCCATACGCTCGAATCGTGAAATGGATAATTGAGTTCAGAATCAATTCTCGGGACGCGATTTATATAGCTTCGAATATAAGATTTTATCGACAGGTCGTTATGGGATTTTCAAAATAATATTCAGCATTTCCGTGCATCTTTGAAAATGTTTTGGTTCGCCAGAATATTTTGTTCCGAATACTGTGAATTGCATTTTTAAAAGTTATAGAATTGAAATGAATGAATAATTACCATGAAGTATCGGAATTGAAGCCAGCAATCACTGTCCAAAAGCACGCACTTGAAAAACCAGTGGACTCTCTCTACAACGATTTTTTTTTTCGTGGAACGAATGTTTTTTTAATCTCATAGGGTTCTCTTCCCATGGTATAGGGGTTCTCCACAAAGAGATTATTCTCACTACAACGATTTTTGTCTGATCCCTCAATTGAATTTCGTTGTGAAAAGAGTCCACCTGTATATGTATTATATTTATAATATGTCTGCCGAACTGCAAGGACCTTAACGGTGATCTGCATACGATATCCAAATAGAAGTCTGTCTGAAAATCCATATTTCTTTTTATATGATCTGACTCGCCGTACACGAGATATATGTTGCATGAACAGCGTTTTCAAGAAGGCTTGAGCAAGTTTCAAGGCATTATATTCTTATTTTTTCTAATCTAGGTGTCGCTGCAAAGCCTAGTGATAACAGACGCAGCCCGACGCTTCTGTTCCACTCGTCACCAAATGCTGACGAAACCCGGTCGCCAGGTGATCACGTTCCTAGTGTTCGCCAATGCGACCCTCTGGCTCATGGACACATTCATGGCCCACGATGCCGTGACCCAGGGCCTGCAGGCCCGTTTCTTCGGCCACCTGACCTGGGGCGTCTTGTCTCGGGTCAGCGTCCCCCTCGTCGTCTTCTACCGGTTCTACTCCACCGTCACTTTGATCGAGATCTGGAAGAACACGTACAAGACCAAGACGGACTGAGAACCGTGTCCGGCTCCAGCAGCCCGCGAGCTGACGATGATGATGGTGATGATGATGAGGGTGATGATGGCGTCCGTGATGATGACGACAGTGGAAAGCGACCAAGGTGTCGGTGATGACGATGATGAGAGACTTAGTGACGATGCCGGGACTTTTAGTGTGGTGAGCCGCGCGTCATCGACGCGGCAACACGTCTGTGTTTGCGGGCAAAGACTTCGACAGCGCGGAAGTGACGCGACAGAGACTGTGAATGCTGATGACGATTCCTTGTCGACGTCGACTTCGACATCGTCGTCGTCAGTGGGAATCGTGGCGAATCCGTTGTTTGTCGACGAAGACCTGGATTCTGCCGACTGGAACGGAAGGATCCAGTTGTGGAGAAGACCGGTGAGTCGGCGACGACTCGTCGAAAGCGTCGCGTCGACATCGTCGGACGCGGAATTGTCGACATCAACGAGGACGAGACGACGCAGCGACGTTGCCGGGCTCGTCGACGACGGTTGGTTCTTGTTGGAGAATGTACATAGCTGTTGTGTCGTCGACGGAGTGTCGTCGGCGTCGTCGTCAGCAAAATCGGCATCGTCGAGGCCCAGGTCTGTCGCTGTCACTGCTTTGCCGTCGACGAGGACGAGCGTCGCTGTCGCTGCTGCTTCCAGCTCATCCACTGACGGCGACAAGCCATTTAAGAAGTTACCCTGGCATGCCAATCTTCATCTGCTGAGGACGAAATGACTCAACCCGACTTTCTTTATTTCAATTTTTGATCATATTGTATTGCTTGTGATTTTTTTGTTGATGTTGAAATATTGAATGTTTCTATGTGCTCATCAACCTTTTTTTTCCCTTCCCTCGCTTGCTGAGAATTTCAATTGATTGTATTTTTTGTTTTGCTGATGATCTTGCTGTATTTTGAAGCAAATGTCCTGGTGAGGTGAACAAAAATTTTCTCTCCCATGAAAATTGCGTCTTGTAATCGATACATCAAATTTTCATCTCTCACTGCAGTCTTATAGTGTTGCCTGGAATCGAAATTATACGAAATGTGCAATCGAATTAACCTTTGAGTATGTTTTCAGCAGATTTTAATAATTTATCTTGTCCATCTAAAATTCTCTCCGTTGTTTTCATCATACCTCTACAGACCCTATAGATTGGTGTGTTTTTTTTCTTCTACGCTTTAGAATAAGGTTTCAAGAAAAGTAACGTGTTCTGTCTGCGTATATATAGGCCTGTTATTCTTGCAGAATTTCTGTTTTCTTTACGAAATGCGTCAACTTCACCTGAAAATCGAAGTTCGGATGTGACTTAGCTCAAGCTTTATTCTAACGTATATGCGATGTTGAAAAAGTCTTATTCCTTTGCGATCTCCTTAAAAATCTCCTTCAGCTTGATTACCTTCAAAATTTAAAATCTGCTGAAGAAATTGCACTTCTGCATCTGGATATTTTATTATTTTTCCTTGTGTTATTGGCCAGTGGAACCAT